CCCTATTCTCTAACCACTTTTTTAGCATTTTATCCGTATTTTTTTTGATTTGTCAGTCTGTATCAAACATTAGTATGATATGTAACTAAAAATGTTAACACTAACCCAGAAAGAAGGACAATCCTCTCGCCCGCCATTTTTCCTTTATTAGAGTGTCAAAGTATTTAGCCCAATTGTGAATTGGATATCTTTCTAACTGCAAGTTGTTGGCTGTCAATAAGTTCTGTCAGTATTTTCTCTGTATTAGCCTGGGACCAGGCTCCGCGACAGACTATTCAGTTTGAGTGTGTTCCTGTTGAATTTGTTGTCTTTTTTATAAGGTATGTCAGCTCAAAATCGTGTAAAAATTAGTAACAATCATTTTCCCTGAGTTTTCTTAACCGTTGTTATCTTTGTAATAGCCTGCGAGCAGAGGTTTCTCTCTTACATGCATGGCTTTTAGCGTTTACGAAGTCGTTCGCGTCGCTTATCGGTTGCGTATTTGGTTTGTTAAGTACGCGACTGACAAGCGAGGGGGACTTCGTAAACGCTAAAACAAGTAAAAGTCAAGCAAGAGAGAAAAAAAACTGCTCACGGGGTATCTCCATACAGTTTTGGTTTACGTGTTCTCGAAGCACAAGCCTTAGCTGTACGCAAAATGCATTCTTTGCCTACATCCACTGACTTAAGGGTTTTAACATGCTTTTGGGAGGAGCGTGATTACAATACTCTACCTTTTGAACGTCGATTTACTGTCAATCGCTTTATAAATGTGACCGTAGTTTATCACAGAATAGTGTAAGAAAAGCTCCATATTTTGAATACTTCTTTTTCTTTTTGCAACAGATCACAGGCATATTTTTTGCTCTTCTTGGAGCCGAGGGATAAGTTAAACGTCTCGCAAAGAAATTTATATTGCTTGCTCGAAATCAGTGTTTTAAAAAATCTTTTCCCGAATTGTAGGAGCGTGATATTGAAAGAGCGCGATACTGTCAACAGCACCGCGAATCTAGTTAGGGTAATTAATAAATATTGTAAATATAACCGTACATTTAGGGAAAGTAATCGTTAACTTTGGCTAGTTTTGTTTTTCGCTAAAAATTAACAATTATCGACATGATTTTGGGTCACGATTTCGGGGCCTGGGAACGAAAAAAAAATGGGAAAAAAATGTCACGTAATTTTTTGGCATGTAAAGTTGAAAAAAGAAAAAAAAATGGCCTAAATAGGGCTAACTGGGACACTTCATAAAATATACTATTAAGACGCTAAGAAAGTGAATATTTACAATACTAAAATGTTTAATAAAAATTTAATATGTTGTCTATTCACTACAAAGTTTGAAACAGTTACTGTTATTAATTTTGTTGTAGGTGATTTTCGTAGATTTTTATTCAGTTAAGATCATTTTAAAGATAAATTTTACCATTTTACATAATCCATACTGGTTAACTTAGTTAAGCAAACATGCTTTACATAACACATAATACTATGCAATAAGGAGAAACACCCACAGAGAAATAAATTTGAACAATAGATCGTTTTCACCAATATGGCCACCGGAAATCAACAAAAACATCTGGAGTTCACTTTTTCTATAAAAGCTCTTTCTTTTCACTCGAGAACTAGCATACGTGCGCAGAAACATATCTTTTAATAATTAAAATGGTTTTACTGCTGAAAATCAAGACGAGAGGCTTTTTTTCACCGAGACAGCATTCCTATTTTGATATCACGCACTGTGAAAACCCGGAAGTTCAAATTGCTGTATTTTCGAAATGAAACATGCTACGGGAATGGAAACTTGTACAAAGATTTACTTTTTGTTTATCTTCAACATAATGTAAATGAGAATTCGTAAGAACCTCGCTATTTTGACTTTACAATTTGATGAAGTCACTGTGAAAACCATCTATAATAACAACATAATCAACGTTAATCACATAAAAGCCAAAACGACTCGATTTTCAGAAATGGACCTACTGAAAACAATTAATAGCCATTTTTTCACCGAACATCGGGAAAAAGCCCAAATCCCGACATTTTCAAGCCCAAAAATCACGCCAGAGCAAGTAAAAGTAACACAGAGCAAAAGAAGAAGGAAAAAGGAAAAAGAGAATGACTGCACTCTTAACTTTTAGAATGGCTACTTTGGATGTTGTTAATGACAATAATTAAATAGACGATAAGGAACAGCGACTTCAGCTGAGAGAGGTTATAACGATTTTAAAAACCCAGTTAAAAATTGTGCACTTTGTTTAAAAACATAATCCATACTGGTTATCTTAGTTAAGCAAAATTGCGACTTTTAGATCGCAATAAAATAATGCGGTTAAGTTTCTTCGTGTTGCAGAAACCACTTTTGGTTAGCTTGTGTGTTGTGGTGTGGGTATCAGTATCTTTTCAATCTTTTGACCATAATGTGATCTTGCAGGTGTTTGGCAAATGTTCCATTGCTACCAATACTAAGAACTGCCTCGTAGCGTGCTAATCCAGTTGTCAAACCGTCGTGGTTTTGGTCAAGGAAATCCCATCCAATAACGAGACTTCTGTGTCCTTTTCTGAGCCATCGTCGGTTACATTCACGTACTTTCTCTAAATTGGGTGTAAACAAATATATATAAACAAACAAACAAATGTGTCGTAATACTGTTTATATTAGATACTCCGCCCCCTTGAGTTCACTGCAACGGAGTCGCGTGTTCCCGCCATGTTTAAGTTTACGGATTCTTGTTTTTTTTTTGGTCCTGTGAAAGTCAACGACAGCGGCTTTCCCTTTCCCTTTTTTTGTGGCTGATAAATAGTGATAAACCAATAATTTTCGACAGGAACCGAAATTAGCTTTTCTTGGACTAGCAATAAATTTGTTCAGTGATTTCACTTAACAGTATTTAATGGATTAAACAAAGGAAGACTCAAGACAGCACCTTATATTCTCGTAAATAATACTGGAATCGCTTCGTTATTTCAGCAAATGTGGGTCTCATCAAAGGGTTTTCTAACCAACATGAACGCATCATTTCATATCTGCAGATAACAGCAGAAAATATTTGAATAATTAATCTGTAATACCTAATTACAACTGGACTACAAGAAATCCCCATTTTTCCTCAGGGATAGTAGAGCGAGCGAAACGCGAGCGCGTGAAAATCACCCCACGCGACGTGCGCTCGCGTTTCGCACGCTCTACTATCCCTAAGGAAAAATGGGGGACCACTCGTAGTCTAAATTACAACTCGTCTTGAAGAAGGAAACGCTATCCGATTGTTAAGTAGCCTGTTCCAGGCTTANTTTTTTGTGGCTGATAAATAGTGATAAACCAATAATTTTCGACAGGAACCGAAATTAGCTTTTCTTGGACTAGCAATAAATTTGTTCAGTGATTTCACTTAACAGTATTTAATGGATTAAACAAAGGAAGACTCAAGACAGCACCTTATATTCTCGTAAATAATACTGGAATCGCTTCGTTATTTCAGCAAATGTGGGTCTCATCAAAGGGTTTTCTAACCAACATGAACGCATCATTTCATATCTGCAGATAACAGCAGAAAATATTTGAATAATTAATCTGTAATACCTAATTACAACTGGACTACAAGAAATCCCCATTTTTCCTCAGGGATAGTAGAGCGAGCGAAACGCGAGCGCGTGAAAATCACCCCACGCGACGTGCGCTCGCGTTTCGCACGCTCTACTATCCCTAAGGAAAAATGGGGGACCACTCGTAGTCTAAATTACAACTCGTCTTGAAGAAGGAAACGCTATCCGATTGTTAAGTAGCCTGTTCCAGGCTTAGAGATAATGAGGGAAAACTGACACGAAAGCGTAAGGCATGCGAAAAGTTGGCAGAGATTACAGGCTCCGCCGCCCTTCCTCTCCCAAGTTTTCTCCCCGCGTTTTTCACTTCTTTCTTTCTTTTTTTTTTTTTATGTTCGCGCCTTCTCAATTCAGCGGACCCGATTATCTCCGAGCCTGGAAGAGTTCTCATATATGATTTATTTCATATACATTATTTTGCTACATTCATCTCTTTCACGGGAACATGAACAAATAATTGACCAGCTCCCAACATAAGTGACTTCATAGCTTAGTTGGTTAGAGCGCGAGGTCACAGGTTCAAATCCCGTTGAAGTCCTGAATATTCTTTCAGGCTTCTTACACAATTCCATAAATAGACCATATTCACGATGACGTCATTTTACTACTGCTACCAGATCCTTCAGGGTTTTGCTTTCTTGTGTAAATTGAACCTCACTGAGATTACCAATTTTAAATTTGAAAGAAAGAACAAAATGAAGTGTGGTCTTGATAGTAAAAGACGTCATCGAGCAAATGGCGTATTGCGTTCACGACTGCCAGAATTCATTTCCGCAGTTCTCATATATGATTTATTTCATATACATTTGTCACATTCATCTCATGCGAGTCCGAATTCCGAAGAATGATGTTCTTTGAATTTCAAACACATTCCCAGAAAAGCGTGTCTCAATGCCTTGCGTCTTCACAACTGATAAGTCTTAAGTGCAACGCTTAACACGGCTATAGCGGTACGTACGTCATGTATGGGGACATATATTGTACCGACTTTAAGAGTAACAAGGTAACTACAAGGTAACGGAGTTACCAGGTTACAGGTCATTTTAATTTGATCACGTTAACATGATAGGTGGGGTGACCCGCCACATGTTACCTCACCTACCTTGGGTCCCCCCACCTCCGTGTAAACAGGCCCTAAATCTATAAAGATTTACATTGAAACAGTAAATCGCAGTTGATAGAACGTGACGCGCCAGAGCTCCAGGGGATCATTAGACAAGTAGAGACGCTCAGCGAATTTAAAATCAAGCTAAAGCGCCATTTTGAACAGTAACGCGTGTGGTACTTTTTGGCTTTGTAACTTAATTAATTTTCTAGTTTTAATGTTTTAATGTCTTTGCTTTTGTATTGTTTCAGGGCTGCATTGAGACTAGCTCTACTAAATTGGATGCCCCTGGATAAATATTGATTAAAATATTGATTGATTAATGAGTTTTTGAATATTTGTCCATTCATTAGTATAGAGGACAATTGCAAACTTACAGTTCGTCTGAGCTATGTTCCGGACGTGACATACGGTTCCCCATGGACAGCCAAATGATTAGATCCGCTAGTATTATTATGTTAGGGTACGGCACCTCACCTACAGACATCCACCAAATTTTAGGTCATATTACAAGAAAAAGGGTAGAAATATGCCACAATACTACACACTAAACCATCCAATAACAGATCTATTATTCCATCGACTTAGACGAACTAAAGAAAAAACAAACAGACAAACAAGCAAACGAAAAGTAAAGAAGAACAAAAACGTTTACTCATAATGAGAATGTCTGACCTGTTTAAAATTAGTCTTCGACGTTTTAAATGATTGGTCAGAAATGAAATGAAATAAAAAAAGTCAAGATGGTTAAATGTCTTTTTTGGAGCAACACATTTCGTCACAACTTAGTGTAGGGCTTATAATGGCTTTCCGGTTTTTGTGGAAAATCGAATTGCAAAGCCAGGAAAGAAACATCTTCTTCAAAGTCAAGGAGTTAGTCAAGGAGTTTCAAAGAATAAATTGACAACAACGGACTTGATAATTCATCTTGGTTAGAAATAATGACGACAGGTTTTTAAAGAGTTTTTTGGAGTGTGTTATGTTGATTTCCTTGACCAAATACTGGTCAGTTCTTCTGTGGGGAAGTACTTCATGGACGATAGACTATTTTACAGTTATGAGCTTGGTACCCTTAGCCTTTTAGTGAATGTGAGACTGAGGTTGGTCTCGTTTTGATACAAACAGTTTCCTTTTCTCNAAGTCAAGATGGTTAAATGTCTTTTTTGGAGCAACACATTTCGTAACAACTTAGTGTAGGGCTTATAATGGCTTTCCGGTTTTTGTGGAAAATCGAATTGCAAAGCCAGGAAAGAAACATCTTCTTCAAAGTCAAGGAGTTAGTCAAGGAGTTTCAAAGAATAAATTGACAACAACGGACTTGATAATTCATCTTGGTTAGAAATAATGACGACAGGTTTTTAAAGAGTTTTTTGGAGTGTGTTATGTTGATTTCCTTGACCAAATACTGGTCAGTTCTTCTGTGGGGAAGTACTTCATGGACGATAGACTATTTTACAGTTATGAGCTTGGTACCCTTAGCCTTTTAGTGAATGTGAGACTGAGGTTGCTCTCGTTTTGATACAAACAGTTTCCTTTTCTCACGATTATTATATTTAAAAAATACTAGTTAGCATAACAACTAACTGATTTAACATAATTAGGTCAACCCAGCCTCGTCTCCACGTGTAACTGTGAAACACATTCAGGCCTATTGTCAACTTCATTGTGTTCTATCTAGCGCATAATCTTGGTTTAAATTTTGCTTTCGATCATGTTCTTCAGGCAACTTTACTCAAGACAGAAATTCGGTAATATTTAGGCTTGCAATTTCGCTCGCATTTTTTATTTCCTTTGGGAAAATATAAATGCTCCACCATGCACGGCGTTTGCAAAAAATACTTCTCAAACCGATCTTCAAGAATATAAATAGCTTATTCCCTAGAGCAAAATATCGTGGGATGTTTGTATTCGTTTTTAGTGTTGCTAATACTCTACGGAACGTATTTATTATATATAAAATGGAGAGTTTTATCTTAGAAGACAACATAGAAGTTTGTCTACTTTTAATACCCACCATAAGTGGCAATCTCCCACAACACAATACCATACGACCATCTTTAAGGAAACGAAAGAAACAGAAAGATATTAATATAAGTCAAAGAATAGTTCAATTTACATACATGTGAAAACGGTATGGAATTACTTGAAAAAATCAAGATTGAACACAAGCAGTTAGGACACCTACACGTCACTTTTGGCAGTATATACACGATCCTTTAAGGATTCTAACGCCATCCATCTCCAAGGTACTTTACCCTATAGAAGAGAAAACAAATCTCTTTTTAGGAGCCACAGACAGTAGGTTAGGAAAAAGAAAAGGTGGAAGTAAAGAGCTTTGTGCTAACGTACTTGGATTGCATGGTTAAACTATAGGATACTAGAAAAAGAGCGATTCCCGAACTAACATGTACTTACAGAGGATTTTTTGGTGTAAATGCCATAGTCCGAGATATCCCTTGCCAATCCAAAGTCACCAACTTTTGCCACGAGGTTTTCGCCAATGAAGACATTTCTAGCTGAAAGGTCGCGATGAATACACTAGAAAAAAACAGAGTCGACCCTCTAATTATAGTAGGAAAAGTATAAAATGTAAAGAGCTACAGGGACAGCTTCAAACATACAAGAGATAACTGCGAAATAAGTGAGAAGGCTTAAGAACGATCTTCATAGGAGGCTATCTTAGTCCTGATAGATGTGCAATTGCAAGAACAAACAATTTCCTGACCAAAGCGTGGTAAGTTTGGTCGCAGACCTTCAATCGTCTGTTTGTTTTGTTTTGGTTTATTTTCGATTTTTTGAGATTACATTTTCGTCGTCGACACACATTTGCCTCGCTTTGAGGCGCTTGCTTACGTTTTGCCTCACTTTGACGCGCTAACGATGACGACGCTAACGGATCTAACGCGGTGATTCTTGTGTCCTCGGCGTTCATCTTTCAAAGGTTTGGTGAGGTCTGATATTCTGTCTTCGTAAAGCGTTCATCTTTTAAAAGGTTTGCTGAATCTTCGTAAAGCGTACATCGATCTGTGTTTGCTGAATCGTCCAAAGCGTTCATCTTTCAGAAGTTTGCTGTTAAATTTTACTTTGGATTAAGCCTTCATATTTTTCAGCATGGTTCGTCACTGTCTTTGGAAAATGTCTGCGACTCCTGGTGCATGCATCAAACAGGGTTTAGTTCGGTGGCCGTTGTGCCACAAAGTAAATTTACCGAGTTGTGTAGCTCGGCGGCGCCATTTGATCATGACTTGTGATATTTTCGGCACCGGACAAACGAACACTTTAACTCTATGTTATTTATTAGGAAAAACTTATAAACCAGCCCACATCAGCGCCACTCTCGAGTCACTGAAATCAACACGCTCGACCAAATTACTGGAAAAGTTATTGACGTTAGCCGCACACATATTCCATTGAAGGCTTTGACAGGGTTAGTGCGAAGTTTGAATTTAGATGTGAAAGCTTTAAAACAGTAAATTCAATTTAATTCATTTTGGCAACGAGTTGATGATTGGATGCTCTTAAAAATAACAGAGAAAATTATGCGAAGAAATGTTTTTGAAGAAAGAAAAAGAATCCCGGGTTAAGCACTAATCGGCCTTTGAGCAACTGCGCCCTGAAACTCGCGCCAGTAAAACAAAATGCCGCTATTTACACGCCCGACGCACTCTGGCCAATGTCTCCTCCGATTACAAGCACTTGACACCGAACAATACGATATCTTTTCAAAACCTTCTTATAATGATACACAGTTTAAATAGAGGTTTCGCTGTACGCAACCCTTACGTTCAAAATATGCCATAATGACATTTATCTATATCGCAACCACCCTTCCCCCTCAACTGCTACCTGTACGCCTAACAAACATATCGAACGCACTCTCCTAAGCTCCGATTAATTGTTTTAGTATATTCACACGAAGTGATCTCAACAGAATCAGAAAGGAAACCGTTAAAAAAGGATTAGTTTGATTGACGGGTGAATTCATGCGTGAACACGAAGCCGTAAGCAGTAGATGCGTAAAAGTTAGATCTTTACAGTATCTTCAAACATGGCAAATGATAGTTTTAATCTTTTTGT